CAGTCTACAGGAAAAAAGAAAGAGTTCACAAGCTTGCAGGACAATGGGAAATACCATATCTGAGGATAGTGTAAAATAAAGTTTGCAGCTGCAAACAACAGAATCCAGTCCGGTTAGTTTAATCACATGAATGTCTTGTGTGTGGAAGTAGCTCACTGGTAAAACACTTGCTTAGTGAAAGGTTCAGATCAGACTTGACTCACCCAGCCCCAACCTGTTTGTCAGCAGAAGCACTATTCTCTGCAGGGAACTCAGTTTGTACCAAAGTTGTCACTGGCAAGCACAGGATGTTGTGGAGGAGATAAGATAGGCTTTTTCAGATCCTGGGACATATGGAGATGCTTAAAAATTTACACCAGACACTTCAAGGACTCTGCCCACTGAGGTGCAAGACTGCCTAAGAACTTTGACCACAGATGTTTATTGAGATCTCCCCTTCTAATGTCCCCTGCCTTCTCTCCATTCCTATAAAAAGTAACACACTTTTCTTTGTTAGGGGCAGATGGCCTTATCATGCTCTCTGCCTGCATGCACCCAGGCACAATAAATTCTAAAACATGTTGCCTTTACACAAGCTTGATGATCTCTGCTGGTTCTTTCCATGTGTTACATGTTACACTTAGCATGATCAAGCTCTACACCTGAAGTACGATCCCTAATACAGAAAACACAGAGTAGCTGGGTATGGTGGTACACTCCTGTAATCTCTGCAGGGGATTGAGGAAGGAGGCTGAGGCAGAAGGGTATTTTCAAGTTCAAGACTAGCTTGGGCTACAAAGACGGCCCAAGGCCAGTCTGAACTACATAGCAAGACCCTGTCTCAAAATGACAACAACAACAAAAAAAAAAAAAAAAAAAAAAAAAACAGAGAGAGAGAGAGAAAGAGAGAGAGAGAGAAAGAACACAGAGTGGGAGTGTAACAGCAAAACATGAGATTCACCCACAAGAGACTGAGAGTTGAGAAACAAGTGAGTTTTATTTTAAGAGCTGCAGTGGTCAGCAGCAAATTTAGGAAATTGAAGTTGCTGACTCTGGTCCATTGTTTTGTTTTTTTAATATAATCATGTATAAGTTCCCAAGGCCAGGGAGTTGTCATGGATACCTCTTTTTTGCGGGGGACATTGGGGATCAAACTTATGACCACACACTTGCAAGGCAGGCACTTATGCTGCTGAGCTAAATCCTGGCCCCTGGACACCACTTTTATAAAACCATCATTGCTGGACTTCCGGGAGAACATGGCGGACAGATAACAGCAACTACCGGAGGCTCTCTGAAAGACTCGGCTCAGAAGCCAGGAATGGTGCGGACTAAGTAGACATAAGCAGGTAAATATATGCTCCGCTGACTCAGGAACGAACTGGGCTGAGAGAAACCAACTTGGAATGCAGTCCTGGTGCTAAAACAGGAACAGAAAAGTCTCGGTGTGGAGGCTGGACCCTGCGCCATTGTAATCCACGATTTGGGTTTCCCGCCGCGTGGCGGCTGGCTGCCTCTACAGTGGCTCGGCAAGGAGAGACGTGCAGAAGCTCTGAGAATGGCAATCTGCGAACGGCAGGGAGGCGTGCACTGACTTGTGGTGAGGTGAGTGAGAGAAGCTGACACTCTACCACAGTTTGACTCCAGCGGAGGACTTTCTGGGTCTGAGCAGTCCTGCGGGAGCAGGGCGCAGTGGCGACTCCAGCCACACATCCCCCTCTCGGGCGAGATTGGTGAAAAGTGCCTGGCCTGCGTGACGCTGCCGGCGGACCTGGTAGACTGTCCCAACTCAGATCCCAGAGCCTGACGGTGGCCGGGAGGGGAGACGCGTAGGCTGCCTGGTCCGTAACTCCCTGGTGCGCAGCGGTGAGCGGAACACCTAACTGGCGCAATTCGATCAGGCTGTGGCTGACTGGGAGAGAAGCTGGGCCTCTTATATAAGCTTGCATATATAAGGAACAGAGAAGAAGAGGCAGCATGGGAAGAGGCAGCAACAAGAAAGGCTCCTCGGCCCCCAATTCTGAGAAACAGGCAATAGCAGACACCGCACCAATATACATAAGGCACCATATAGAGAGCCTCATAGACCAATTCAGGAATGAAGTTATCAACGACCTGAAGCTAGAAGTATGCAGAATAGTTAGAGAAATGCTAAGTACCACCCAAGAAAAAACAGGCGGTGGAATGGAAGAACAGAAAAAAAGGGGAGAGTTGTTTGATGGAGAAAACAGAGAAAGCATAGAATACGTGAAACAGGTTCAAAGGGACTACCAAGATACTAGGAAGTCTATAGAAGACTGGCATAACAGCTTGAAAGAAACTAAGGACAGACTATCTGAACTGGAGGGCAGACTTGTAATATGGGAGAATGAAATGAAAAACTTCTTAAAAATAACAAAGAAACAAACAGCAATAATACAAAGACAAGAAGATGATAAGAGGAGCCATAACTTAAGGATTAAGAACATAAAAGAAGAAGTAGGGACACAAACAAGTGAACTACAAAAGCTACTCACAGAAATAATCCAGGAGAATTTTCCTAATTTAGCAAAAGGTAAAGATACTCAGATGTATGAGGCATACAGGACCCCAGCTACCTACAACCCAAACAGAGCAACACCCAGGCATATAATAATAAAAGTTCCAGAAATTCAATACAAGAACAGAATATTAAAAGCTGTAAGGGACAAGAAACAGACCACTTTCAAGGGAACACCCATCAGAATTACAGCAGATTTCTCGGCACAAACCATCAAATCACGAAGAGCGTGGGGGGAAATAATTCAAGCTTTGAAAGATAATAATCTCCAGCCAAGATTGAGATATCCTGCACAACTGTCCCTGGAAATTGATGGAAAAACAAGGTGCTTCCAGGATAAAGAGGAACTGGGCGAATTTGCAACCACCAATTCAACTCTACAGAGAGTATTGCAGGATATTCTAAAAAAAGAAAAATACAAAGAATCCAGAAATAATGGCAGAGAGGCCACAACGAATGGAGCAGAGAACAAAATGAAGAAGACAAACTGACAGCTACTAACAGAAAAAGAGCTCAACAGAAATGAGGCAGAGAAGATTGGATGATAGGAGAAAATGACATCTTAATAGGTAATACTGATTTAGTATCATCTTGTTTTGAAGTCTCATCTAGCTTTTGTCCTTCTGTCTCCAATGGTCTAAATAGGTTGTATCTTACTGGATTTTATTATGTATGATAGTATAAGCAAAAACCTTGTAAAGACAAGGAGATTATACAGAAACCATTATTCATTTTCTGTTAGTCGATTCTAAATACTCTGTAATGCTGTCATTCTCTTGAATGGTTTTACATTGTTTTGATATACTTAATGCTACAGTATACGAAGTTGTACTCAAGGATTTCAAAGAAAGAGACAATATGGTAACTACTTTTAGGTTAGGATTATCTGGTGGTGAAACACTATTCTGCTTAAATGGTTATGTTTTGATCTGCGCTGTTTCATTGTTATGCCCTCTTTTATCTCAATCTCCACTCCATTATTTACTTTTTTATCTTTATCCTTTTAATTAAAGGAAAAAAATAGCAGGATATATTATAGTAACCCACTTTGACTTTTCATTACCTTGATTTAAAGCCCTGTATTACTCTCACCATCTGGTTTTTAACTGATGTTCCCCTATTCTGTTTTGCTGGATAGTATCAGGTTCGAAAGTTTAGGCATCAGCTGTGAAGATAATGAGATTCATTATGACGCCCATTTTTGTTGACTTTTATCTACTTTTGAAGACCTACAATGTCTCCAATGTTTTGGTTTTGTCGGTTTTATTCTTTACTGTTTTGTTCAATTGTATTATAACTAACAATATAGGCAATTCTATTAGAGATAGCGGGAGGCATTATAGTAACCATTGTTGATCACCTTGTATTATGTTTTTACATTATCTATTATGTCCACCCTTTTGACTTGACCAATTCTGTTCTGTCACATTTGGTTTTACTCTCTTCCAAAAAAGTAATAAGAACAGTGGGAGCAATGAAACCCAAAATGTGTAATAGTCATGGTACAAAAGAGAGGAAAAGAAAGTGCTCCAAACTATATAACTGCATGTATATTTAAGTGTATAAGATAGAAAATGATATCACAGAGTTCTATTGGATCAATGAACAGAACTGTTTGCAGTATCATTGATGGAATGTCCACTTTACAAGCTTTAATTTTGTGACTTGAACAAGTATTTCTAAGATGACAATATGTAATCCATTAACTAGTGATTTCCTACTGTTCATTTTTTTCTGTAAATCTGTATAACTTGTACCCTTTCCCTGCTTTTTTTTCTTTTCTCCTTAAATAAAATTAAAAAAAAAAAAGAAAAAAAAAAAAACATCATTGCTTTGGAATATTATGAGACCTTTTCACACATCTGGTTAACCAACACAGGATAGGGGTACTGAGCAGTTTGACCACTTTGAGATAAAATTTTTTGTTCTTCTTTCCATAGTTTATAGCCAATTAAGGGAGAGGAAGCCTTTTGGGAATTGGACCAAAGTTCACTTGCTGTTTTAAAGTCAGCTAGCTAAGAATCTAAGCTATAATCAACAGACTATAAAGTAAGTGAAGTTTTTAAGGCTAGGGTTTTGGGGTTATGGATGCCCTCACAGGAGAAAGGAAGAGAGACAGAGAGAGAGAAGGAGAGAGAATATCAAGGAAACACAAGGCAGAAAGGAAATAAATGTACTTAAACATAAAGCCAGAGAGAAAAACAGGAGAGATGTCCAACATAGCAGGAGTTGAAGGAGGTTTTTTGTGAAAGCATCCTTCCCCTACTGCTCCATTTGATTGATGCTCAGAACTAGAAGCCAGAAACCCCACCACTGCACCCACGTGGAAGCATGGGTGAGGATGAAGGCAAGGAGGAAGAGCGGACGATGATTAGGCCTAGAGTCCTGCCTTCAGTGCCCTAGCTTTGTAGTCAGTCCTATGCAGATGAGATGCACTCATTCATTCATTCCACAAATAATTGTGCATTGTCTCCTTTGTGTTGAAAATTGGTATTTAATGAGGACAAAGTGATGACAAAAAAAAGACATATATTTCTTGTTCTGCAGGTGCTTAAGAAGTGCTAAACAGTGCTTAAACAAGTAAAGTGTGGGTAGAAGAAGGCAGGATCGGCTGGGAAAGTGATGAACTTAGCAGAAGAACCACTCTTCCAGAAGGGTATTTATTGCCATTGGAAAATGATTGTAGTGCTCTTGAGGGAGTCTCAGACTTAAGCATGCCCAGGAAATGCAGGTACCAGCATATCTACAAAAGAAAAAAAGCTTGCTGATTTTCTTTGATCTTATCTTTCACCCGGACTCTGCATATCAACAAAAATCCTACAGCAGTGATGCAAAACCTTTTAGAGTTTACAATGATACAAACTGCTCACTGTGACATACATACTGTGAGCTTGCCATGACCGTTCTAGTACATTCCTTAAATGAGCCAACTGTGGTCCTTGCTACAGACAGTAACGAAGTTCATAGGTTCATAGGAGACTTGCCAGAAGCCCCTTGGAGTCAAGAGAGCTTCAGCTTCAAAGTCACTATCCTGCTGTGAGGTGTGGGATCCCCTAGGATCCACTCCTTCCCACAGACCTTCCCTTTCAGCACCTTGAACTTTACCCAAAGACGTGAGCTGCTGTCCACAGATCTGGACACATTCCTCCTGGGTCGAGAAACGGTTCAGGTTTCCTCCACAGCCACCATATGCAAAGGTCTCACACAGCCCAGATTTGGGGTTGAAGAAGTATCTGGTAAACCGACCCTTGCAGGGACCTCTGTTGGGGGGCTGCAGGCAGAAATCAGATGGAGCGGCTGCAGAGACAAGAAAGTCTGTGGTCAACCAGGATGATGGTCACACAGCACAGTCTACACGGCGAGCAACAGGAAAACAATGGATCTAGTCAACAATTCCCACTGCTGATAATGACCCAGGGACAAGCCTACAGGATCATAAAACCTGGTTGCTACCCATCCTATCTACATAACCGGCATGGAAAATGTTTTCCATCTTCAACTACTGGGAAGAGCTTCACCCTGAGATCTTTCAAAAACATGAACTTCAATTCCTGTGTAATAAAAAAATGGCTTTGGAGGAAATGAGCTGAAGCCATTCCTTCCTCGCCTAGAAATAATGCCTTATTACAATTTCATTTTTAATATAAGGAATGGGAAAAATGGTCAGAAGTGCCATATGTGTTTGAGCCTTTAGGGCCCTCTGGCAGAGGCCTGATCTGTACCTAAGAAGTCATCATTCCTCAGGAGCTGCTGCTGCAGACGACCTGGTTTTCAGCTCCTCCTCCCTGCAGGTTACCGCCTCACCAGCCTGCACAGTAAACATCTTCGGCAGAAAAAGGCCATCTCCAGAACCTACCCCATATTAGATCTGGGTGTATCTATCACAAGGCTCCAGATTAAAGAAACCCAATCACTGCTGTGCTCCTGTGAAAAGTCGATCAGCTCCATACACTGGGGGAAAGCTGCAGGAACTCCAACTAGGCCCACACACTGGCAAAAGCCGATTGGTCAATGAAGCCTATTTGGCTTCCAATAACAGTGATGAAGTAGAAGACAAATGAGAGCCAGATTAGGAAACAAAGGGCTAAAACCAAGCTCGACCTGCCTGAGAACCCTATGACACAGCGTGAAACACTAGAGAAATTTCAAATAATCTAAAGAGGGACAGAAGCAAGTCAGAGTGCTTCAAGTGCAAATGAACGGAGCACTGGGCAAAGCAATGCTCCCCTGGACTTCTCTGGTCCTTCCTGGATCTATCAGAACATAGGAGGAAAATCTTTGGCATTAGAAGAAGGATTGGCATCACTCTCAGGGAGGGATGAGGTCCTCTTTTACCATGGTGGGCAGCACAGGAGGCCTGGGCACAAGTGGTGATGGCGTCTGAGGCAGTCTGCAAGGCTCCCACACAAGATCATCACAACTAACTCTCAGGAGCTTCTGTTACTCTAGGTGTAGGGGGCAAAGAGATTACAGTTCTCTGCAATATTGGGGTGACTTCAATCTAGTTTCTTATCTTCACGGGTTTTCATTCCATTTTAAAGTTATTGTAGGCTTTGAGAGAGCTAAGCAGACAGGTTTGCCCCTACTCTGAACTGCCACTTGGAAGATTTGTTTTTCTAAGCTGCCTTTATGGAGGGATTGGGGCACCCAATACCAATAATGGTAAGAGATATGTTCTTCCTACTCAGGCTACTCTGATTTCCTCAACCCTCTGGTGACTGATGTCATAATTGCTAGGGACCCAGCCAATACCAGTAATTAGAAGATATACTCTTTCTATTTAGGTCCACTCTGATACTCAAACCTCTGGCAACCTATGTCATAACTGCTAGGAACCCAGCCAGCCTGATTCCGGGGGGCCCAGTATCTGCCTGAAGATAATCCTTTAGCATGATATTATGGCACCATAGAGGGGGCTGTGAAAACCACTCCAGTGGTCATTCATCGAGTAGACCCTGACATACATCCTCACCCAAGACAGAAGAAAGAGGCTACGCTGAGGTTAAAGCATATTATTAACATGTTTTTGACAGGATTGCTGGTGTCACACCAATCCTCATTCAATATACCTATTTACCAATAGTTAATCGCTAAACAGAATGTTACCTAGTACAGCAGTGGTACCATTCTTCAATTAGTAGCAGACCCATATACCCTTTTACCACAATCCAAAGAGACACTAAATGGTTCTGTCCTTGATCTCAAAGATGCCTTCCTCCTCAAATTACACCTAGAATTCAGTGGGAGATGCAGGCACCTGAAGCCAAGAGGTATGGCCTTTAAATTGGGAAACTCTAACTTTTCAGCCCCATTTTTCTGTAGTTCTTGCTATTTTTTACCTATGTGCAGTGCTTTTCAGTTGCTCTGGCACATTTCTTGATTTGTTATAAACATCTGTTGGCACGGACTTGCCCTGAACAAACACCCTATGATCTTCCTGAACATAGCTGCTTCCTACTCACTACAGGGTGTACCCTTGGTAACACTTTCTTCATCATACAGAAGGAAACTGGGCTATTACTGGTGCATTTGACCGTAAGAGGGTCCCCCAGGTATTGTATTATTCAGCATCAAGTGGAAGATGCGACAATCATGGGTTCCTGTAACTGGCATGGTTCAGTCTGCAGGAAGAAAAAGGTAAGTTCACAGCCCTGAAAGTCAATAGAAACACTACATCTAAGGATGGAGGCAAATGAAGTTTTTAGTTACAAACAACAGAATCCAGTCTGCCTAGCTTAATCACAAGGTGAATGTCTGGGTGAAGAAGTAGCTCACTGATAGAGCACTGGCTTAGCATGCTCTGGCTCCAGACCCCAAGGACAGTTCTAACAGAAAACACAGAAAGAGGGAGAGCAGAAGAAAACCTATTGCCAGTGGAAAATGGTTCCAGTGGTTTTATTTTTGGAGAGGAGTTCAGATGTCAACACAAAGGCAGCACAGCAATCAGAATGTTTGCAAAGAATAAAAAGTTACTAGAAGTCATTTATTCTATGCTTGACCTGGACTCTACACACCACAACTATGGTCATCCCTGAGCCAGAGGACAGAGAGTAGTGAAATAGCTTCACTGACTCTGAGTCTTGATAGCTCAGTAGAACTTCATGACTACGGTATAGACTGGCTGCCTCTGTGCTCCCTCTGAAAAAGGGGAACAGTTTACATGGCTCCCATCATACTAAGGACACTTGTAACAGTAACCTTCTACCAAGCTCCAAGAAGACCTTATGCTCAGCCTGTGGGTTCTCAGGACACTTGTCACTTATCCCCTGAGTCAAGAAAGCCTCAGCTTCAGAGTTGCAGTACTGGTGTGAGGCTTTAAGTCCCTTATGCTCCACTCTTTTCCCTGACCTTCCCTTCCAGTACCTTCAACTGTGCCCAAGGATGTGAGCTGCTGTCCACAGGTCTGCAAACATTCCTCCTGGTCCTGGAAACGGTTCAGGTTTCCTCCACAGCCACCATATACAAAGGTCTCACACAGCCCAGATTTGGGGTTGAAGAAGTATCTGGTAAACAGACCCTTGCAGGGGCCTGTGTTGGGTGGCTGCAGGCAGAAATCAGATGGAGCGGCTGCAGAGACAAGAAAGTCTGTGGTCAACCAGGATGATGGTCACACCGCACAGTCTACACGGCGAGCAACAGTAAAACCATGGGCCTAGTGAACAATTCCCACTACTGATAATTACCCAGAGACAAGCCTGCAGGACCATAAAACCTGGTTTCTACCCATCCTATCTACATACGCAGCATGGAAAATGCCTTACCTATTTCTTATAATTCCGTCTTCAGCCACTGGGAAAAGTGTCACCCTGAGATCTTTCTAAAACATTAACTTCTATTCCTGTGTAATAAAATATGGCCTTGGAGGAAATGAGCTGAGGCCATTCCTTCCTCACGTAGAAATAATGCCTTATTACAATTTCATTTTTAATATAAGGAATGGGAAAAATGGTCAGAAGTGCCATATGTTTAAGCCTGTAGGGCCCTCTGGCAGATGCCTCATCTGTACCTAAGAAGTCATCATTCCTCAGGAGCTGCTGCTGCAGACGACCTGGTTTTCAGCTCCTCATCCCTGCAGCCTACCTCCTCGCCACCCTGCACAGTAAATATCTTCAGCAGATAAAGTTTAATCACAGCAGATTAAATGTGCTCTGGCACCTGAAGCCAAGATGTATGACCTTTAAATTGGGAAAGTCTATGTTTTCAGCCCCATTTTTCTGTTTTTCTTGCTATTTTCTACCTATGTGCAGTGCTTTTCAGTTGCTCTGACAAATTTGTTCATTTGTTATAAACATTTGTTAGCACAGACTTACCCTGGACAAACACCCTATGATCTTCCTGAACATAGCTGCTTCCTACTCACTACAGGGTGTACCCTTGGTAACACTGTCTTCATCGTAGAGAAGGAACCTGGGCTATTATTGGCCCATTAAACTGTAACAGGGTTCCCCAAGGTATTGTGTTACTCAGCATCAAGTGGAAGATGCCACAATCATGGGTTCCTGTAACTGGCATGGTTCAGTCTGCAGGAAGAAAAAGGTAAGTTCACAGCCCTGAAAGGCAGTGGAAATACCACATCTGAGGATGGAGGCAAATGAAGTTTTTAGTTACAAACAACAAAATCCAGTCTGCCTAGCTTAATCACAACGTGAATGTCTGGGTGAAGAAGTAGCTCACTGATAGAGCACTGGCTTAGCATGCTCTGGCTCCAGACGCCAAGTACAGTTCTAACAGAAAACACAGAAGGTCGGAGAGCAAAAAGATTGATGGATAGAGATAGCCATACAGAAAGAACAGACAGAAAAAGGAAAAGGAAAGAAGCAAGAAAGAGAAAGATCAAGCAAGCAAAAAAGGAGGAAGAAAATAAATGCACTTAAACTTGGAGCCAGAGACCAAGACAGGACAGAGATACGCTATCACAGGATTTGCAGCAGGGCTTTGTGAAAGCATCCGTCCCCGCACTGCTCCTTATGATTCATACTCAGAACCGGATGCCAGAAACCCCACCTCTCCACACCACACAGAAGGATAGGTGGAGGAAGAAGGCAAGGATGAGATGCTGCTGCTGCTGATTAGGTCTAGAGTCCTGGCTTCCGCACCCTAGCTCTGTCGTCAGTCCTGTACTGAGAGACACACTTGTGCACTTGTTCCACAAATAATCATGGACTGTCTTTTCTGTGTCGAGAATCATAGTACATGCTGAGCACAAAGTGACGACAAAAACAAAGACACGTATTTCTCGTTCTTGTGGTGCTTTCAGAGTGTGTAGCTGAATAACAGCCAATCAAGAAGCCTGAGGAGAAGAAAGAGGCGGGGTCTGCTGAGATAGAGAGCAGAATAAGGAAATAGGCAAGGGGATAAGTTTAGCTGAGAAAATATTATTTTAGAAGAAGATCTGGAAAATGGTTCCAGTGGTTTTATTTTGCGGGACGAGCTCAGACTTCAACACATGAAGGCAGCACAGGCATCAGAATGTTTGCAAAGAAAAAGAAGTTACTAGAAGTCATTAATTCTATCCTTGACCTGGACTCTACACACCACCACTATGGTCTTCCCTGGAGCTAGAGGACAGAGAGGACAGAGAGTAATGAAATAGCTTCACCAACTCTAAGTGTTGATAGCTCAGGAGAACTTCAGGACCACTGTACAGAGTGGCTGCCTCTGTGCTCCCCTCTGAAAAAGGGGAACAGTATACATGACACAGATCATGCTAAGGACATTTGTAACAGTGACCTTTTACCAAGCTCCAAGAAGAGCTTATGCTCAGTCTGTGGGTTCACAGGACACTTGTCACTTATCCCCTGAGTCAAGAAAGCCTCAGCTTCAGAGTTGCAGTACTGGTATGAGGCGTTTAAGTCCCTTACGCTCCACTCTTTTCCCTGACCTTCCCTTTCAGTACCTTCGACTGTGCCCAAGGATGTGAGCTGCTGTCCACAGGTCTGCAAACATTCCTCCTGGTCCTGGAAGCGGTTCAGGTTTCCTCCACAGCCACCATATGCAAAGGTCTCACACAGCCCAGATTTGGGGTTGAAGAAGTATCTGGTAAACCGACCCTTGCAGGGACCTGTGTTGGGCGGCTGCAGGCAGAAATCAGATGGAGCGGCTGCAGAGACAAGAAAGTCTGTGGTCAACCAGGATGATGGTCACACCGCACAGTCTACACGGCGAGCAACAGTAAAACCATGGGCCTAGTGAACAATTCCCACTACTGATAATTACCCAGAGACAAGCCTGCAGGACCATAAAACCTGGTTTCTACCATCCTATCCACATATGCAGCATGGAAAACGCCTTATCTATTTCTTATAATTCGATCTTCAACCACTGGGAAAAGTGTCACCCTGAGATCTTTCTAAAACATTAACTTCTATTCCTGTGTAACAAAAAAAATGGCCTTGGAGGAAATGAGCTGAGGCCATTCCTTCCTCACCTAGAAATAATGCCTTATTTCAATTTTATTTTTACTATAAGGAATGGGGAAAATGGTCTGAAGCCTGTAGGGCCCTCTGGCAGAGTCCTGATCTGTACCTAAGAAGTCATCATTCCTCAGGAGCTGCTGCTGCAGACGACCTGGTTTTCAGCTCCTCATCCCTGCAGGCTACCTGGGCAACAGCCTGCACAGTAAATATCTTCAGCAGACAAAGGCTGTCTCCTGAATCTATCCCATATTAGGTCTGGTTCTATCTATCACAAGGTCCCAGGTTAAGGAAACCCAACCTCTGCTCTACTCCTTTGCAAAGTGACAGGCACTGGTAGCACAGTCTAGGTACTAGTTCCTTTTGCAGTTATATAGATATTTAGTAGTACAAGAAAAAATCAGGTAGATTCTCTGAGGATCTTGAAAAGTTTGCTGACACTTTCTGCTCCCTGACAATGGCTTTTGATCTGGCCTGTGAGATGTCCAGTGCATCGTTCTCTACACCACACTGAAGCAGAAAGAGAAAGGGTTGTAAGGGCTGCCAGGTAGGACAAGGATGAAGCCTTTGCAGCTGTATTTTCTGATAATCAAAGAACTTCTAAATTATTTGGGGCCTGAGTGGGATTATGACACAGACAGATGAAGAAGTCAGATGAAAATTATACAGCAAACGATGCTGGACATGGTGGTACATGTTTGTAATCCCAGCACTGGGGAGGCTGAGGCAGTAGAACTCTTGCAAGTTCGAGGCCAGACTGGGATGTAAAGTGAGTTCCAAGCCAGCCTGACCTGCACAGTGAGACTCTGTCTCAAAAAACAAAACAAAGGAGAAAGATTAAAGGAAAGAATAAAATTATACATCAAGGCCACTTTGGAAGGCATTCAACAAGAGGTGTCCAAACCTGCAGTCACAATAAGCTCAGGTCTAATAGTTAGGACCGTCGAGAAAAACCCAGTTGGTATTCAGCTTCACCTTAAAAATGCACCCTGTAATTCAGACTCTGAGTTTAGAGATGGTCAGGTATTTCTAAAGCATATTTAGTCAGTCAGCTCCATACACTGAGGGAAAGCTACAGGAAATCCAACTGGGCCCACACACTGGCATAAGCTGAATGGTCAATGAAGCCGATTTGGCTCCCAATAACAGTGATGAAGTAGAAGACAAATGAGAGCCGGATTAGGAAACTACAGGCTAAAACCATGCTCGACCTGTCTGAGAATCCTTTGACAAAGCATGAAACACTAGAGAAATTTCAAATAATCTAAGGAGAGACAGAAGCAAGTCAGAGTGCTTCAAGTGCAAATGAACAGGGCACTGGGCAATGCAATGCCCCCCTGGACTTCTCTGCTCCTTTTTGGATCTATCAGAACATAGGTGGAAAGCCTTTGGCATTAGAAGACAGACTGGCCTCACTCTCAGGGAGGGATGAGGTCCTCTTTTACCATGGTGGGCAGCACAGAAGGCCTGGGCACAGGTGGTGATGGCGTCTGAGGCAGTCTGCAAGGCTCCCACACAAGAGGATCATAACTAACTCTCAGGAGTCTGTATTACTCTAGGTATAGAGGGCAAAGACATTATACTTCTCTGCAATATTGGGGTGACTTCATTCTAGTTTCTTATCTTCATGGGTTTTCATTCCATTTCAAACTTGTTGTAGGCTTTGAGAGAGCTAAGCAGACAGCTTTGTCCCTTCTCTGAAGTGCCACTTGGAAGATTTGTTTTTCTAAGCTGCCTTTATGGAGGGATTGGGGCACCCAATACCAATAATTGTAAGAGATATGCTTTTCCTACTCAGGGCACACTGATACTCAACCCTCTGGAGACTGATGTCATAATTGCTAGGGACCCAGCCAATATGAGTAATTAGAACAGATATACTCTTTCTATTTAGATTCACTCTGATACTCAAACCTCTGCCAACCTATGTCATAACTGCTAGGAAATCAGCCAACCTGATTGCCGGGGGCCCACTGTCTCTGTCTGGAAATACTCCTTAAGCGTAACATGATGGCACCATAGAGAGGGCTGTCAAAGCCACTCCAGTAGTAATTCATCAAGTGGACCCTAATCTACATCCACACCAAGACACAAGAAAGAAGCTACCCTGAGTTTTACACATATTATTAACATGTTTTTGACAGGATTGCTGGTGCCACGCTGGTCCTCATGCAATATACCTATTTACTAATAGTTAATTCCTAAAGAGAATGTTGCCCAGTAAAACAGTGGTACCATTGTTCAATTAGTAGCAGACCCATATACCCTTTTAGCATAATCCCACGAGACACTAAATGGTTCTGTCCTTGATCTCAAAGATACCTTCCTCCTGAAATTACACCTAGAATTCAGTGGGAGATGCAGGCACCTGAAGCCAAGATGTATAGCCTTTAATTTGGGAAAGTCTAAGTTTTCAGCCCCATTTTTCTGTGGTTCTTGCTATTTTTTAGCTATTTGCAGTGCTTTTCAGTTTCTCTGGCACATTTCTTGATTTGTTATAAACATCTTTTGGCACAGACTTGCCCTGAACAAACACGCTATGATCTTCCTGAACATAGCTGCTTCCTATTCACTACAGGGTGGACCCTTAGTAATACTTTCTTCATTATACAGAAGGAACCTGGGCTATTATTGGCACAGTGGACCGTAAAAGGGTCCCCCAGGTATTGCATTACTCAGCATCAAGGGGCAGATGCCACAATCATGGCTTTCTGTAACTGGCATGTTTCAGTCTGCAGGAAGAAAAAGGTAAGTTTACAGCCCTGGAAGACAGTGGAAATACCACATCTGAGGATAGAGGCAAATAAAGTTTTTAGTTACAAACAACAGAATCCAGTCTGCCTAGCTAATCACAACGTGAATGTCTGGGTGAAGAAGTAGCTCACTGATAGAGCACTGGCTTAGCATGCTCTGGCGCCAGACCCCTAGTACAGTTCTAACACAGAAAACACAGAAAGAGGGAGAGCAGAAGAAAACCTATTGCCAGTGGAAAATGGTTCCAGTGGTTTTATTTTTGGAGAGGAGTTCCGATGTCAACACATGAAGGCAGCACAGCAATCAGAATGTTGGCAACGAATAAAAAGTTACTAGAACTCATTTATTATTCTCTCCTTGACTTGGACTCTACACAGCACAACGATGGTCATCCCTGCAGTCACAGGACAGAGAGTAGTTAAATAGCTTCACTGACTCTGAGTCTTGATAGCTCAGTAGAACTTCATGACTACAGTATAGAGTGGCTGCCTCTGTGTTCCCTCTGAAAAAGGGGAACAATTTACATGGCTCAAATCATGCTAAGCACACTTGTAACAGTGACTTTCTACCAAGCTCCAAGAAGAGCTTATGCTCAGTCTGTGGGTTCACAGGACACTTGTCACTTATCCCCTGAGTCAAGAAAGCACCAGCTGCAGAGTTGCAGTACTGGTGTGAGGCGTTTAAGTCCCTTACACTCCACTCTTTTCCCTGACCTTCCCTTTCAGTACCTTCAACTGTGCCCAAGGATTTGAGCTGCTGTCCACAGGTCTGCACACATTCCTCCTGGTCCTGGAAGCGGTTCAGGTTTCCTCCACAGCCACCATATACAAAGGTCTCACACAGCCCAGATTTGGGGTTGAAGAAGTATCTGGTAAACCGACCCTTGCAGGGACCTGTGTTGGGTGGCTGCAGGCAGAAATCAGATGGAGCAGCTGCAGAGACAAGAAAGTCTGTGGTCAACCAGGATGATGGTCACACAGCACAGTCTACACGGCGAGCAACAGTAAAACCATGGGCCTAGTGAACAATTCCCACTACTGATAATTACCCAGAGACAAGCCTGCAGGACCATAAAACCTGGTTTCTACCCGTCCTATCTACATATGCAGCATGGAAAATGCCTTACCTATTTCTTATAATTCCGTCTTCAGCCACTGGGAAAAGTGTCACACTGAGATCTTTCTAAAACATTAACTTCTATTCCTGTGTAATAAAATATGGCCTTGGAGGAAATGAGCTGAGGCCATTCCTTCCTCATGTAGAAATAATGCCTTATTACAATTTCATTTTTAATATAAGGAATGGGAAAAATGGTCAGAAGCCTGTAGGGCCCTCTGGCAGAGGCCTGTTCTGTACCTAGGAAGTCATCATTCCTCAGGAGCTGCTGCTGCAGACGACCTGGTTTTCAGCTCCTCCTCCCTGCAGCCTACCTCCTCGCCACCCTGCACAGTAAATATCTTCAGCAGATAAAGTTTAATCACAGCAGATCAAATGTGCTCTGGCACCTGAAGCCAAGATGTATGACCTTTAAATTGGAAAAGTCTATGTTTTCAGCCCCATTTTTCTGTTTTACTTGCTATTGTTTACCTATGTGCAGTGCTTTTCAGTTGCTGTGGCAAATTTGTTCATTTGTTATAAACATTTGTTGGCACAGACTTGCCCTGGACAAACACCCTATGATCTTCCTGAACATAGCTGCTTCCTACTCACTACAGGGTGTACCCTTGGTAACACTGTCTTCATCGTAGAGAAGGAACCTGGGCTATTATTGGCCCATTAAACTGTAACAGGGTCCCCCAAGCTATTGTGTTACTCAGCATCAAGTGGAAGATGCCACAATCATGGGTTCCTCTAACAGGCATGGTTCAGTCTGCAGGAAGAAAAAGGTAAGTTCACAGCCCTGAAAGGCAGTGGAAATACCACATCTGAGGATGGAGGCAAATAAAAAGTTTTTAGTTACAAACAACAAAATCCAGTCTGCCTAGCTTAATCACAACGTGAATGTCTGGGTGAAGAAGTAGCTCACTGATACAGCACTGGCTTAGCATGCTCTGGCTCCAGACACCAAGTACAGTTCTAACAGAAAACACAGAAGGTCGGAGAGCAAAAAGATTGATGGATAGAGATAGCCATACAGAAAAAACAGACAGAAAAAGAAAAAGGAAAGAAGCAAGAAAGAGAAAGATCAAGCAAGCAAAAAAGGAGGAAGAAAATAAATGCACTTAAACTTGGAGCCAGAGACCAAGACAGGACAGAGATACGCTATCACAGGATTTGCAGCAGGGCTTTGTGAAAGCATCCGTCCCCGCACTGCTCCTTATGATTCATACTCAGAACCGGATTCCAGAAACCCCACCTCTCCACACCACACAGAAGGATAGGTGGAGGAAGAAGGCAAGGATGAGATGCTGCTGCTGCTGATTAGGTCTAGAGTCCTGGCTTCCGCACCCTAGCTCTGTCGTCAGTCCTGTACTGAGAGACACACTTGTGCACTTGTTCCACAAATAATCATGGACTGTCTTTTCTGTGTCAAGAATCATGGTACATGCTGAGGACAAAGTGACGACAAAAACAAAGACACGTATTTCTTGTTCTTGTGGTGCTTTCAGAGTGTGTAGCTGAATAACACCCAATCAAGAAGCCTGAGGAGAAGAAAGAGGCGGGATCTGCTGAGATAGACAGCAGAATAAGGAAATAGGCAAGGGCATAAGTTTAGCTGAGAAAATATTATTTTAGGAGAAAATCTGGAAAATGGTTCCAGTGGTTTTATTTTGCGGGACGAGCTCAGATGTCCACACATGAAGGCAGCACAGGCGTCAGAATGTTTGCAAAGAAAAAAAAGTGACTAGAAGTCATTAATTCTATCCTTGACCTGGACTCTACACACCACCACTATGGTCTTCCCTGGAGCCAGAGGACAGAGAGGACAGAGAGTAATGAAATAGCTTCACCAACTCTGAGTGTTGATAGCTCAGGAGAACTTCAGGAACACTGTACAGAGTGGCTGCCTCTGTGCTCCCCTCTAAAAAAGGGGAACACTATACATGACGCAGATCATGCTAAGGACATTTGTAACAGTGACCTTTTACCAAGCTCCAAGAAGAGCTTAGGCTCAGTCTGTGGGTTCACAGGACGCTTGTCACTTATCCCCTGAGTCAAGAAAGCCTCAGCTGCAGAGTTGCAGTACTGGTGTGAGGTGTTTAAGTCCGTTACACTCCACTCTTTTCCCTGACCTTTCCTTTCAGTACCTTCAACTGTGCCCAAGGATTTGAGCTGCTGTCCACAGGTCTGCACACATTCCTCCTGGTCCTGGAAACGGTTCAGGTTTCCTCCACAGCCACCATATACAAAGGTCTCACACAGCCCAGATTTGGGGTTGAAGAAGTATCTGGTAAACCGACCCTTGCAGGGACCTGTGTTGGGAGGCTGCAGGCAGAAATCAGGTGGAGCAGCTGCAGAGACAAAAAGTCTGTGGTCAACCAGGATGATGGTCACTCCGCACAGTCTACACGGCGAGCAACAGTAAAACCATGGGCCTAGTGAACAATTCCCACTACGGATAATTACCCAGAGACAAGCCTGCAGGACCATAAAACCTGGTTTCTACCCGTCCTATCCACATATGCAGCATGGAAAACGTCTTACCTATTTCTTATAATTCCATCTTCAAACACTGGGAAAAGTGTCACACTGAGATGTTTCTAAAACATCAATGTCTATTCCTGTGTAATAAAAAAAATGGCCTTGGAGGAAATGAGCTGAGGCCATTCCTTTCTCACCTAGAAATAATGCCTTATTTCAATTTTATTTTTACTATAAGGAATGGGGAAAATGGTCAGAAGCCTGTAGGGCCCTCTGGCAGAGGCCTCATCTGTACCTAAGAAGTCATCATTCCTCAGGAGCTGCTGCTGCAGACGACCTGGTTTTCAGCTCCTCATCCCTGCAGGCTACCCCCTCAACAGCCTGCACAGTAAATATCTTCAGCAGACAAAGGCCGTCTCCTGAATCTTCCCCATATTAGGTCTGGTTCTACCTATCACAAGGTCCCAGGTTAAGGAAACCCAACCTCTGCTCTACTCCTTTGCAAAGTGACAGGCACTGGTAGCACAGTCTAGGTACTAGTTCCTTTTGCAGTTATATAGATATTTAGTAGTACAAGAAAAAATCAGGTAGATTCTCTGAGGATCTTGAAAAGTTTGCTGACAGTTTCTGCTCCCTGACAATGGCTTTTGATCTGGCCTGTGAGATGTCCAGTGCATCGTTCTCTACACCACACTGAAGCAGAAAGAGAAAGGGTTGTAAGCGCTGGCAGGTAGGACAAGGATGAAGCCTTTGCAGCTGTATTTTCTGATAATCAAAGAACTTCTAAATTATTTGGGGCCTGAGTGGGATTATGACACAGACAGATGAAGAAGTCAGATGAAAATTATACAGCAAACGATGCTGGACATGGTGGTACATGTTTGTAATCCCAGCACTGGGGAGGCTGAGGCAGTAGAACTCTTGCAAGTTCGAGGCCAGACTGGGATGTAAAGTGAGTTCCAAGCCAGCCTGACCTGCACAGTGAGACTCTGTCTCAAAAAACAAAACAAAGGAGAAAGATTAAAGGAAAGAATAAAATTATACATCAAGGCCACTTTGGAAGGCATTCAACAAGAGGTGTCCAAACCTGCAGTCACAATAAGCTCAGGTCTAATAGTTAGGACCGTCGAGAAAAACCCAGTTGGTATTCAGCTTCACCTTAAAAATGCACCCTGTAATTCAGACTCTGAGTTTAGAGATGGTCAGGTATGTCTAAAGCATATTTAGTCAGTCAGCTCCATACACTGAGGGAAAGCTACAGGAAATCCAACTGGGCCCACACACTGGCATAAGCTGAATGGTCAATGAAGCCGATTTGGCTCCCAATAACAGTGATGAAGTAGAAGACAAATGAGAGCCGGATTAGGAAACTACAGGCTAAAACCATGCTCGACCTGTCTGAGAATCCTTTGACAAAGCATGAAACACTAGAGAAATTTCAAATAATCTAAGGAGAGACAGAAGCAAGTCAGAGTGCTTCAAGTGCAAATGAACAGGGCACTGGGCAATGCAATGCCCCCCTGGACTTCTCTGCTCCTTTTTGGATCTATCAGAACATAGGTGGAAAGCCTTTGGCATTAGAAGACAGACTGGCCTCACTCTCAGGGAGGGATGAGGTCCTCTTTTACCATGGTGGGCAGCACAGAAGGCCTGGGCACAGGTGGTGATGGCGTCTGAGGCAGTCTGCAAGGCTCCCACACAAGAGGATCACAACTAACTCTCAGGAGTCTGTATTACTCTAGGTATAGAGGGCAAAGACATTATACTTCTCTGCAATATTGGGGTGACTTCATTCTAGTTTCTTATCTTCATGGGTTTTCATTCCATTTCAAACTTGTTGTAGGCTTTGAGAGAGCTAAGCAGACAGCTTTGTCCCTTCTCTGAAGTGCCACTTGGAAGATTTGTTTTTCTAAGCTGCCTTTATGGAGGGATTGGGGCACCCAATACCAATAATTGTAAGAGATATGCTTTTCCTACTCAGGGCACACTGATACTCAACCCTATGGTGACTGATGTCATAATTGCTTGGGACCCAGCAAATACGAGTAATTAGAGGAGATATACTCTTTCTATTTAGGTTCACTCTGATACTCAAACCTCTGCCAACCTATGTCATAACTGCTAGGAAATCAGACAACCTGATTGCCGGGGGCCCCACTGTCTCTGTCTGGAAATAATCCTTAAGTGTAACATGATGGCACCATAGAGAGGGCTGTCAAAGCCACTACAGTAGTAATTCGTCAATTGGACCCTAATCTACATCCACACCAACACACACAAGAAAGAAGCTACCCTGAGTTTTAAACATATTATTAACATGTTTTTGATAGGATTGCTGATGCCACGCTGGTCCTCATGCAATATACCTATTTACTAATAGTTAATCCCAAAGAGAATGTTGCCCAGTATAGCACTGGTACCATTCTTCAATTAGTAGCAGACCCATATACCCTTTTAGCATAATCCCACGAGACACTAAATGGTTCTGTCCTTGATCTCAAAGATACCTTCCTCCTGAAATTACACCTAGAATTCAGTGGGAGATGCAGGCACCTGAAGCCAAGATGTATAGCCTTTAATTTGGGAAAGGCTAAGTTTTCAGCCCCATTTTTCTGTGGTTCTTGCTATTTTTTAGCTATTTGCAGTGCTTTTCAGTTGCTCTGGCACATTTCTTGATTTGTTATAAACATCTTTTGGCACAGACTTGCCCTGAACAAACACGCTATGATCTTCCTGAACATAGCTGCTTCCTATTCACTACAGGGTGGACCCTTAGTAATACTTTCTTCATTATACAGAAGGAACCTGGGCTATTATTGGCACAGTGGACCATAAGAGGGTCCCCCGGGTATTCTGTTACTCAGCATCAAGTGGCAGATGCCACAATCATGGATTTCTGTAACTGGCATGTTTCAGTCTGCAGGAAGAAAAAGGTAAGATTACAGCCCTGAAAGACAGTGGAAATACCACATCTGAGGATAGAGGCAAATAAAGTTTTTAGTTACAAACAACAGAATCCAGTCTGCCTAGCTAATCACAACGTGAATGTCTGGGTGAAGAAGTAGCTCACTGATAGAGCACTTGCTTAGCATGCTCTGGCGCCAGACCCCTAGTACAGTTCTAACACAGAAAACACAGAAAGAGGGAGAGCAGAAGAAAACCTATTGCCAGTGGAAAATGGTTCCAGTGGTTTTATTTTTGGAGAAGAGTTCAGATGTCAACACATGAAGGCAGCACAGCAATCAGAATGTTGGCAACGAATAAAAAGTTACTAGAACTCATTTATTATTCTCTCCTTGACCTGAACTCTACACACCACAACGATGGTCATCCCTGCAGCCAGAGGACAGAGAGTAGTAAAATAGCTTCACTGACTCTGAGTCTTGATAGCTCAGTAGAACTTCATGACTACAGTATAGAGTGGCTGCCTCTGTGTTCCCTCTGAAAAAGGGGAACAATTTACATGGCTCAAATCATGCTAAGCACTCTTGTAACAGTGACTTTCTACCAAGCTCCAAGAAGAACTTATGCTCAGTCTGTGGGTTCACAGGACACTTGTCACTTATCCCCTGAGTCAAGAAAGCCTCAGCTGCAGAGTTGCAGTACTGGTGTGAGGCGTTTATGTCCCTTACGCTCCACTCTTTTCCCTGACCTTCCCTTTCAGTACCTTCAACTGTGCCCAAGGATTTGAGCTGCTGTCCACAGGTCTGCACACATTCCTCCTGGTCCTGGAAGCGGTTCAGGTTTCCTCCACAGCCACCATATACAAAGGTCTCACACAGCCCAGATTTGGGGTTGAAGAAGTATCTGGTAAACCGACCCTTGCAGGGACCTGTGTTGGGTGGCTGCAGGCAGAAATCAGATGGAGCAGCTGCAGAGACAAGAAAGTCTGTGGTCAACCAGGATGATGGTCACACAGCACAGTCTACACGGCGAGCAACAGTAAAACCATGGGCCTAGTGAACAATTCCCACTACTGATAATTACCCAGAGACAAGCCTGCAGGACCATAAAACCTGGTTTCTACCCGTCCTATCCACATATGCAGCATGGAAAACGCCTTATCTATTTCTTATAATTCGATCTTCAACCACTGGGAAAAGTGTCACCCTGAGATCTTTCTAAAACATTAACTTCTATTTCTGTGTAATAAAATATGGCCTTCGAGGAAATGATCTGAGGCCATTCCTTCCTCACCTAGAAATAATGCCTTGTTTCAATTTCATTTTTACTATAAGGAATGGGAAAAATTGTCAGAAGCCTGTAGGGCCCTCTGGCAGAGTCCTCATCTGTACCTAAGAAGTCATCATTCCTCAGGAGCTGCTGCTGCAGACGACCTGGTTTTCAGCTTCTCCTCCCTGCAGGCTACCTGGGCAACAGCCTGCACAGTAAATATCTTCAGCAGACAAAGGCTGTTTCCTGAATCTACCCCATATTAGGTCTGGTTCTACCTATCACAAGGTCCCAGGTTAAGGAAACCCAACCTCTGCTCTCCTCCTTTGCAAAGTGACAGGCACTGGTAGCACAGTCTAGGTACTAGTTCCTTTTGCAGTTATATAGATATTTAGTAGTACAAGAAAAAATCAGGTAGATTCTCTGAGGATCTTGAAAAGTTTGCTGACAGTTTCTGCTCCCTGACAATGGCTTTTGATCTGGCCTGTGAGATGTCCAATGCATCCTTCTCTACACCACACTGAAGCAGAAAGAGAAAGGGTTGTAAGCGCTGGCAGCTAGGACAAGGATGAAGCCTTTGCAGCTGTATTTTCTGATAATCAAAGAACTTCTGAATTATTTGGGGCCTGAGTGGGATTATGACACAGACAGATGAAGAAGTCAGATGAAAATAATACAGCAAACGATGCTGGACATGGTGGTACATGTTTGTAATCCCAGCACTGGGGAGGCTGAGGCAGTAGAACTCTTGCAAGTTCGAGGCCAGACTGGGATGTAAAGTGAGTTCAAAGCCAGCCTGACCTGCACAGTGAGACTCTGTCTCAAAAAACAAAACAAAGGAGAAAGATTAAAGGAAAGAATAAAATTATACATCAAGGCCACTTTGGAAGGCATTCAATAAGAGGTGTCCAAACGTGTTAGTCACAATAAGCTCAGGTCTAATAGTTAGGACCCTCGAGAAAAACCCAGTTGCTATTCAGCTTCACCTTAAAAAGGCACCCTGTAATTTAGACTCTGAGTTTAGAGATGGTCAGGTATTTCTAAAGCATATTTAGTCAATCAGCTCCATTAGCTGGCATAAGCTGATTGGTCAATGAAGCCGATTTGGCTCCCAATAACAGTGATGAAGTAGATGACAAATGAGAGCCGGATTAGGAAATGGCTAAAACCATGCTTGACCTGCCTGAGAACCCTATGACAAAGCATGAAACACTAGAGAAATTTTAAATAATCTAAGGAGGGACAGACGCAAGTCAGAGTGCTTCACGTGCAAATGAACGGGGCACTGGGCAAAGCAACGCTGCCCTGGACTTCTCTGGTCCTTCCTGGATCTATCAGAACATAGGGGGAAAGCCTCTGGCATTAGAAGACAGACTGGCCTCACTCTCAGGGAGGGATGAGGTCCTCTTTTACCACGGTGGGCAGCACAGAAGGCCTGGGCACACGTGGTGATGGCGTCTGAGGCAGTCTGCAAGGCTCCCACACAAGATCATCACAACTAACTCTCAGGAGCTTCTGCTACTCTAGGTGTAGGGGGCAAAGAGATTACAGTTCTCTGCAATATTGGGGTGACTTCAATCTAGTTTCTTATCTTCATGGGTTTTCATTCCATTTTAACGTTGTTGTAGGCTTTGAGAGAGCTAAGCAGACATCTTTGCCCCTACTCTGAACTGCCACTTGGAAGATTTGTTTTTCTAAGCTGCCTTTATGGAGGGATTGGGGCACCCAATACCGATAATGGTAAGAGATATGCTCTTCCTACTCAGGGCACTCTGATACTCAACCCTTTGGTGACTGATGTCATAATTGCTAGAGACCCAGCTAACACCAATAATTAGAGGAGATATACTCTTTCTATTTAGGTCCACTCTGATACTCAAACCTCTGGCAACCTATGTCATAACTGCTAGGAACCCAGTCAGCCTGATTCCAGGGGACCCAGTATCTGCCTGAAGATAATACTTAAGCGTAATATGATGGCACCACAGAGGGGCCTGTCAAAGCCACTCCAGTGGTCATTCATCGAGTGGACCTTGATCTACATCTTCACCCAAGACAGAAGACAGAAGCTACCCTGAGGTTAAAGCATATAACACGTTTTTGACAGGATTGCTGGTGCCACGCTGATCCTCATGCAATACATATATTTACTAATAGTTAATCCCTAAAGAGAATGTTGCCTAGTACAGCAGTGCTACCATTCTTCAATTAATAGCAGACCCATATACCCTTTTACCACAGTCCCAGGAGACGCTAAATGCTTCTGTCCTTGATCTCAAAGATGCAATCTTCCTGAAATTACAACTAGAAATTCAGTGGGAGATGCAGGCACCTGAAGCCACGATGTATGGCCTTTAAATTTGGAAAGTCTAGGTTTTCAGCCCCATTTTTCTGTAGTTCTTGCTATTTTTACCTATGTGCAGTGCTTTTCAGTTGCTCTGGCACATTTCTTGATTTGTGTTAAACATTTGTTGGCACAGACTTGCCCTGGACAAACACCCTATGATCTTCCTGAACATAGCTGCTTCCTACTCACTACAGGGTGTACCCTTGGTAACGCTTTCTTCATCGTAGAGAAGGAACCTGGGCTATTATTGGCCCATTAAACTGTAACAGGGTCCCCCAGGTACTGCGTTACTCAGCCTCAAGTGGCAGATGCCACAATCATGGGTTCCTGTAACAATCTATAGGAAAAGGGAAGTTTACATCCCTGAAAGGCAGTGGAAAATACTACATCTAAGGATGGAGGCAAACAAAGTTTTTAGTTACAAACAACAGATCCCAGTCTGCCTAGTAATCACAACGTGAATGTCTGGGTGAAGAAGTAGCTCACTGATAGAACACTGGCTTAGCATGCTCTGGCTCCAGACGCCAAGTACAGCTCTAACAGAGAAAACACAGAAGGACGGAGAACAGAAGAAAACCTATTGCCAGTGGAAAATGGTTCCAGTGGTTTTATTTTTGAGGAGGAGCTCTGATGTCAACACATGAAGGTGGCACAGGGGTCAGCATGTTTGTAAAGGAAAGAAGTTACTAGAAGTCATTTATTCTATCCTTGACCTGGACTCTACACACCACAACTATGGTCCTCCATGCAGCCAGAGAACAGAGAGGACAGAGAGTAATGAAATAACTTCACCAACTCTGAGTGTTGAAAGCTCAGGAGAACTTCAAGACTACTGTACAGAGTGGCTGCCTCTGTTTTCCCCTCTGAAAAAGGAGAACAGTTTACATGGCTCAAATCATGCTAAGGACATTTGTAACAGTGACCTTCTACCAAGCTCCAAGAAGAGCTTATGCTCAGTCTGTGGGTTCACAGGACACTTGTCACTTATCCCCTGAGTCAAGAAAGCCTCACCTGCAGAGTTGCAGTACTGGTGTGAGGCGTTTAAGTCCGTTACACTCCATTTTCCCTGACCTTCCCTTCCAGTACCTTCAACTGTGCCCAAGGATGTGAGCTGCTGTCCACAGGTCTGCAAACATTCCTCCTGGTCCTGGAAACGGTTCAGGTTTCCTCCACAGCCACCATATACAAAGGTCTCACACAGCCCAGATTTGGGGTTGAAGAAGTATCTGGTAAACAGACCCTTGCAGGGACCTGTGTTGGGCAGCTGCAGGCAGAAATCAGGTGGAGGGGCTGCAGAGACAAGAAAGTCTGCGGTCAACCAGGATGATGGTCACACCGCACAGTCTACACAGCGAGCGATAGAAAAACCCTGGGTCTAGTGCACGGTTGGGAGGGAGCTCGAAGTGTCAAACCTCTACTTGACAGTTTGCTTTCTGGACATTGTTAATTTCATTATGCCATGATATGGTGATAATGTAAAAAATTTATTCATCCCTCTGAAGTTATTTATGAATTAATTAATTGGAGGATACCTGGATTTTATATTGAGAACTGCAGGAAATAAACTGAAAATAATAGGAGGAAGATATATGTATTTAGTGTTCTCCATGCCAACAATTGTTGTAGCTTAAAATGGGAACACTGAGGTTTATAATGCCATTCTCTTTACTTTTTGTATTTTTGCAAGTTGTAATTTACAAAGAAAAATCCTTTAACTGGTTATGCTGTCATGGAGGAAAACATGCTATTTGTTAATTTTGACTACTTTTTGCAGTCAATAGAATCATGGACTGTTTCATTTGTTTGTTTGTTTGTTTGTTTTGAGACAGATTCTCACTATGTGGCCTAGGTTAGCATGGGCTCAGGATGTCCTGGCCTCAAACTCGCAGTGATCCTCCTATGTCTGCCTCCAGAGTATAGGAATTACAAACCTGCACCACCATACTGGGTAAATAGTGGAATTTTGATGAGGAATCTGTCAATTAAGGTTTTAAACTTTATTTGTTTTTGGTTTTTGACACAAAATCTCAGTATGTAGTTCAGGCTGTCCTTGAACTCACTGTTTAGCCCAGCATGGTTTTCAACTCAAGGAAATCCTCCTACCTCAAGGTCCTGAGTGCTGGGATTACACGCCTGTGCCACAATGCTCAGTTAAAACCTTGTTTATATATCTTTATCTTTTTACTCCTTATTTAAAAAGCATACATTTCTCTTGTAATTCACCAATAAATAATTTTGCAAATTAATAAATATTTTATAATAATATTTATACCCATTGGAAAATACATGCAGTACATCATAAATTAAGAATAGCAATGTGGCTGGTGACATCCTATTTTTGTAAAAAATAAAATACATGCTAGGCAAGTGTGGCTGTCCATTCTTTGTAGCAGCAGACTTCACTTTTAAATGAAACCTGTTAAGTCAGTGGATGTGGACCCCAGAACCCCATCCTCGGCTTTCTCAAAGACTCTAATCACTTTGCCCCATCCCTGCCCATCCAGCTAGCTTCATGCATTGCTAAAGAGCCATTATGGAAAACTCAAGGCTACCGTTCTCTCAGTTCTCAGGCTGGCATTCAATGGCTGTTTGACTTGGCGGTAGAAAAATGAATGACTCTTGAGCCCGCTCTCTCATCAGACACCAGCTGCGAGTTCCAGGGATGACTCCTAATTCTACTGCACTGGGTATATAAATGTTATGGCTCCACTACCAATTCTCTAGAGCAATTCTAGAACTCAAGAAAGCACTTGAGTCTGGGGTAGTAGCCCATGTCTGTGATCCTAGCACTTTGGTGGCACGGACAGAAGGATCACAAGTAGGAACCCAGCCGAGGCAAAATTGTCTGATAAGCATTTGGTACAATAAATCTTTTAATTATGAAATGTCCTTGGATTTTCTAATTTCCCAATAAAAGACCCAGAGAGAGAAGCTTGCCACCATCCAGACCCACCCCAGCTTCTTCAGGGAGAGGGGAGAGTCAGCAGTTACCTTGGGAAGGCGTACTTGTCTCTTTCCCCTGGGTGCTGGCCATGAGGACAAGGAGAACTGCAGAGAGGTACAGCTGGTGCATCTTGGTGGCCCAGAGTGGAGGCTTCCGGAGAGCTGGGGATAGGCAGAATTTATCACATTCAAGATGAAGATGGGAAAGGATGGGAGGGGGGAATAGAGAAAGCGGGGGAACTGCTATCAGATCTAGGGGTTGCGTCTCCCCAGGCTTTGTGATTCTGTTGCCTGGGGTTAGCTGACTCAGCATTAGTGCTTCCCAGACACTAACAACCTGAGCTGCCTGGAATCTGCTTCAAATGCAGATTCTAACTTGACCAGTCAGTAAACTGTTATCTTTCCAACAGGGCCTCCACAACTTCAGTATCCTCTCCTATAAAATCAGCCACAGAAGTATCGGAGGTAGGAGGATGGCATTTTGAGGCCAGTCTGGGCCATTTAGTAAGACTCTTTCAAAATAAACCACTCAAAGGGCTCAGCAGGATACAAAATCAACTTCAACTTTTATTATACCCAAAATGAACTTTCTGAGAAAGAAATCAGGAAAACAATTCCATTCATAGTAGTCTAAAAAAATAAAAGTCCCATGAGTTGACCTAGTTAGGAAGATAAAAGATGTCTACAGTGAAGATCACAAGAGTGAAGAAACTGCAGACACCAGAAGATGGAAAGACCTCTCAGCTTCATGGATTAGAATTAATACTGACTGGGTTGCTAAAAGTGTAATCATCAGAAATTCCAATGACATTCATTACCAAAGTACAATAAAGAATCCTAAAATTTGTATGGAAACACAACAAGCCCAGTACAGCCAAAACAATCTGAAGAGGAGGAGGAAGAGGAAGAGGAGGAGGAAGAAGAGGAACAGGAAAAAAAGAAGGAAAAGGAGAAGAGGAAAAAGAAAGCTGGAAATACCACAATACATAGTTTCAGCTAAAATCCCAGCTCTTAGGAGAGTGAGGCAGGATGATATCTGCAGGCTCCAGGCCAGCTTGGGCTACATAGTGAGTTCAAGATCAGCCTGAACTACGTAGGGAGACAAATAAACAAATAAGAACATAGTTTCAAACTATACTATAAAGCCATAGTTTTTTGTTAACAAAATATGATAAGGCACAGAAATAAACCCACGCAACTACAATCATTTGATCCTTTACAAAGCAGTAAAAAATACATGGAGGAAAGACAGCCTCTTTAACAAATGGTGCTGGGACAACTGTAGAAGACAGAAACTAGACCCATCTCTGTCACTCTGTATAGAAATCAATACAACGTAGATTAAGGCCTTGGTGTGGATATAGGAAAAATATAACTCCTCTGACCCATTAGATGTCAAAGGTGTCTAGTTCATGGGCTCACAGTATGGAGAAATGAAGCTACAAATCAAAGGAGAAAATTAGGAAAGTCTTAACAGAAATAAGGAGAAGAAGAGTAGTTCCTGGATTTTCAGTAACAGTCCCAAATGGGTAGCCACTGAGGCTCTTTGTCAGGGGTAATGTATACAGCAAAATCACAAAGTGGGTAGAATGTGGGTAAAACTACAATCAACCTATAGGATTACAAGTACAGCCGCTTAGCTAATATTGATCCAATACAGAAAAGAGACATACCAGAAGGGTAGGTGGAAAGATCAAAGAATTCTTGGGAAGGGAGGAGATATGAGTCCAGGTATTCTGGTCACCTTCTTATCTGACACCTATCGGGGCCCACTGGATCAGGTGGTAGTAATTACAGTACACCCTCCAGTTGTTTGTCTCTAGGAAGGTATGCAGGTCTTGCTAATGCTTCTCTACCCTAAGGTCTGACTCTTCAGATTTGCCTCCAGTTGCAGTTCTGATGTCTTTATTTTTTGAGATGACTTCCCTGAAGGCCCAAGCCCACTGTTACTGTATATTAACTTCTTTCTAACTTAGCTGCCTATCACAGAATCTGAACTGAAACTCTAAAATTGCTAGAAGAAAACAGAGGAGACACTTGAAGGCATAGGCACAGGAAAAGTCATTAGAACTTCTATTGTAGGAGAAATAATATTGAGAATCAACAAATGGGATTACACCAAATTAAAAAGTTTCTGTACAGCAAATGAAAGAATCAATAGAGTAAAAAGTCAGCCTATGAATGACAGGAAATCTCCCATCTCTTCTTCTGACAGAGGATTAACATTTAGACCAATAAGAAACAATACCACCAAGAAATGAAGTAATCTAATCCATAAATATGAAAATAAATTGAAGACACTTTGAAAAAAATAGTTCAGGTGGCGAATAAATATATGAAAAAATGTTTAACATCGTAAGCTATTAGTCAAACTACATTGAGATTTCGTCTCTTCCCAATCAGAATGGCTATCATCAAATGAGGAACTGAATGGTTCTGATGGGCTGCCTGTAGGGTACTCAGGAGCTGCAAGTCATCCTGAATCCTGTGTTCTGCGCAGTGCCCTGAGTCTACATGACTTAAAGAGATTTCATCAGTTGTCCAACAGATTTTGCCACAGTCCTAATCTTCTACCTCAACTTGAACTGAGGAGAAATTGGAACCGATTAAAATCATCAGACCTAGGGAAAATTAGGACAACATAAGAAAATAGGCTTGATATGGAAGACCTAAAATGGTTGTGTGAAAAGCATACAAGGCAGGCACTGGGCCTGTTGGAGGTGGGGAGCACAGGGAAGTTCTGAGGGGAGTGGGTAGCAGCTGTCCACGGAGGCCAGGGAGCCCTTTCTGGGCCCTGTCAGTAGGGCAGTCTGGCCTGGGTGCTCCCTTCCCCACTTGCTACCTCTTCTCCAGCCTTCAAGCCCCATTTCTGGCTTTTTCAGTTTCCTCGGGGAGAGGCACAGGTTTCTGGGTGTATTGTCCCTGGAGACCCTGATGCGGCTGTGCTGTTTTTTAACGGATCCCCAGAGATCCAGAGTAGGGAAGAAGTAGTCTTTGCATGAGGGGGTGTGGCTTCCAGAGCCTTCTGGGACCATGATCTGAGCTGTGCAAGTTCTGTATCTGAAACTCAAAAGCTTGGTCACTTGGGCACCCCCCACTCCAGCCAGCATGGCATCTGGAGAAGTCTTCCTCAGAGCACTGGAAAATCTAGTGACAGAATTTTTCATGATTGTATGACCAGTGAAACAAAACAAGAGATAGGGGAGCTTCTCAATAACTTTGCCCAGCAAATAGGAACCTGAAGAGTCTGCCTATATTTTCTCTCCAGCACTAGGAATGACTACGGAATGACATACAGTTTAATGGTTGTTGAGAATCTGTTCCATAAGATGTGGCTTGGGGTACCACCTTAGGATAAGATGGAAACTCATAGCTTCCTGCCTACACTCCTTTCAGCTCACCATAAAACTTCACCTTGCTTTATACAGATCAAACTCTGCAGGTGTTGTCGATAATGGATATCAATATTGGCCTGTGTTCTGCCATGACTTTTTACTAACATTTAAGAGTTGATCCAGTCCCCTGTGAGAACTCCCTTTGGGCTGATCGGGCGGAAGACAACCTCAGAACAGCTAGATTATCCCCATGAGGACACCAGTGTGGCTTGGAAGCAGGAGTTTTGGAAGCTGCTGCTGGACCAAGTACAAGCCATGCTTGGGCTTTTGACAGATATCTTGGAGACTGTGTGGGACAAACACAGTGTTACTGCCACTGCTCCACCACTATCCCTGACCTCAGGAGAAAATGGTGACTAGCCGAGTAACCTGTTGCAGAGTCCTTAATCAGCCAAGGTGTTAAGTCAGCCAATCCCCATCCTAGATGCAGAGATGTCTGCTCCCTGGCCCTGCAGTGTGTGGTCTATTTCTTCAGCTGGATTTCTCTCTCTTCCAGTATCACCCCATCCTTCCTCACCATCATCTTCCATTTTGCACACTTTGGTTGTGATATCTAAGGCAGAAAGATGGTGTCAGTGAAAGGCAGCAGTGTCTTGGGTCAGGAGCATGGTCGGCTTGGCATCCTGCCCATGTCCTGCATCAATGAATTCATGCCCAAGAACTACATGTCTATGGAATTCGAGAAGAATTTAATGCATACGTTCCAGCAGATTTTCTAACTCTTGTAGAAGATCACCAAGGATAACAGTGACCACACAATGAGAAGTACACTTAAAGTGCCCAATGAGAGCTATATTAGGAAGTTTACCAATTTTCATGGCTCTTCATGAGTGTTTACCTAAGGAGAGGTGAGTCTTACTGATATTAGGAAAATACTATAACTCTCAACCTGCTAGATATCTGACATGTTGAGTTTATATCCCCCCAAATCAAAGATTGAATTAGATGATTCTGCTACTTAGGCACTACTCCCAGGAGCAAGTGAAGAACTTGTGTTTGATGTAGAGTCACTACTATTGCAAACCCTGCCTTTCTTGTTCCATTTTCTATAAAGGAACTGCTATTACAGAAGAGGGTCAGATTGTTACAGGGAGCTGAGTTAGAAATATTATAGGCAGTAAGACAGGATTAGGTCCTCAAAGGAACCAGTGCAGAAGCCCAGATACCTTGCAACTGTCAGGAAAACAGAGTATCTCCTGCTTTGGGCCAGGTCTCAAGACAAAAGATCAAACAGATGCACCCACACCCTAAGAACTAAATTCCAAATAGATTTCTATCACCCTGAGAAAGCCAGGAGTCACCATTCCAACCTCCTAAGGGAAGAGTCACTGCTCTTTAAGCATTTTGCTTGCTTGTTTCCCCATTTGTCCCTGATTTAATCAATTTTACCTGAGCAATTAATCTTATTGGTTAACCATAGTTCTGTCCCACCGTATGCCAACCTTGGGAGTTTCTGGGTTTTCCTCACCTTGGACCTGTCTCACCCCATGGTTTTGCTCATAAAAGTCCCTAGAATAGACAGAGTCGTAGGCAACCCTCTCGGGACCTCTCTGTCCTTCAGACAGAAGCTTTCTTTCTCTCAATAAATATATTCTGCTATTAACCCCCATTGTTCCTAAAATTCATTCTTTGATTTTAGAGAACATGAACTCATATGAGACATATAGTAGATTGGGAGTTTCATTCCCTTATATCAAGATAAAGGTCAGAAAGAGATGCGTCTTCTCAAGTCTTCTCTGACTGCATACATAAGTATAATTACCTGAT